CATCCTTGCTTCATAAAATCAACACACTAAAATATCACTAACACCATCCTTGTTGATAGTCAAGGAAGTTTGGGGGGGGGAAGAGGGGGAGGGCATGGGGGAGGTGTGGTTTATAATATAACAACATCTGTTCCCATAAGAGTCTAGATAAGGATCACTGAACCTAGCACTGACATGCAGCCACCTTTGGGTGTTTTAACAGGACACACAGCTAGACAACACACCAGTCCGGGGCGGGGGGAAAGGGGGAAGAAAAATGCTGCGACCAACCAAGCCATAGGAGGGCAGAATGGACTCACCAAAGCTGGAATCTGGTCCGAACACCAAGGCCAACGTCCCATCTAAAGGGGGGGTCCAATATTTGATGCTATTGCTGGGCCTTGGCATTTGGGTCATTGTCTTTAAGTGACACAGCGCCCCCTAGTGCCATATTGGGGCACTACTTGCATAATGACTCGGAGGGGCAAACGGTACAAATGACACTCTCTGCACCACCTGGGTTTCTCATGGAGCTCGCCCATCTGTGTGTCGAGCATGGCCAAGCTCGGCTCAGATCTGCTGCTCTGAACTGGAAGGACCCCCTGGGGCTCAGGCTAGGGAGCCCCCCCACTTATCACAGCAGCTAAGTCTATGCCAGGTGGGAACAGCCTGTTTTCCAGCAGACAGCAGGGAACGTGGAAGAATGACTTGACTGGGTGCCTGTAGACAGGGTTGCCCCAACCCCACCTTCTTAATATGGCTGTGGGAGTGGATACCCCCACAGGCCTCCTCTATGGAGACCCGAGGGCATCACAGCTAAGATGCAGCTTCGTGCCCGCGGTCAGAGGGAGCTGACCCCCATGTGCAGTAAGGTATCTTAATTCCCCGTGGCAGGGCACTTTCCCTGTCCCCCCGTCTCTGCCACACCAGGAGCCAGGGCTGCTCCCCTCCAGGCAAACCCCGTGCCCGTCTCTGCCCCTGCTAGGCCGCCTTGCAGCTGGTGAGGTCCTTTAAACGCCTCTCCCCCTTTACGGACTTGCTTCCTGGTTGTGCTAAAAAGCGATGAGCTCATGTGGCTTTATATAGCTCTTCCATCAACTCCCTCTCCATAGCAACGCGGCCTGGCGCGACAGCTCCTCATGGGCCTGGGACGTCAGGAGCCCGGCAGCGGAGCCCCCCCCCGGCACTGCCGCAGCGCCACCTTGCCAACAGCCAGGCCCCGTGGGCACAGGGTCAGCAAGGAACGAGACCCAGGGAAGGAAGCTTTCCCGATACAACTCCCAAGCCTCAGCCGTGGGGCGGGGAGCCCACATGGAGCCAGCGGCTGGGCACTGCCTGGTACCACAGCGCCTCCCTATGGACAAGTGGGGATAGAGGGTCTCTTTTAAAAAAGAAAAAGGAAGATGCCTGGAACCCAGCTTGGAAATCTGGCCAGGAAGGGCTGGGTTGAGGGGGCGGAGAGTATTTTAAGGTTAGGGACACCAAAAACCAGTAACAAATTTAATTAAAGGCACCACCCAAGGATTGTCAACTCCCACTGGCTTCAATGGCCCCGGGGTGAAATTAACCCCCCCGCCCCCTCGGGGCCCAGGACCCAAAGCAAGCTCTTCTGCAGTACTGAAGCTTGGTGTCATTGAGGAACCTTGGCACCGGTGGGGGCTGGAGGGGGCCTTCTGTTGGCTCTCTGCACTGGGGTGGGCATCACCCCAGGACTGCTGGCGCCCCACTGCCCCCGTCCCCCAAGGCCCACCCCCAGCCTACAGTTCTCTCCCTCTTTCCCAGATTTTGCCATGGTGCTGTGCTATTCTGTCATCTGGGCATCCTGCGTGGGGCAGGGACCCCATCTGCCTCGGTCCCGGGCGTGCCATGCTGTCTGCTCTGGCATTATGCAGATAACAAGGGTGATTGTATTTCTTTCAGAGATTTCCTCGGGTCTAAGGCCAGAAGGGACTGAGCTCCTGGATAACCCAGGTGTCAGATTTCGCCCGATCACGCCTGTGCTGGGCCCTATAACTTGGGTTAGACCCAACCATTCCAGGCCTCAGGGGACTGAACTTGTGGGCCACAGAGAGGCCAAGATGCCACCAGTGCCCGAGGCCCAGGCAGCGGCAGGGCACTGATTACATGGGATATGCCCAGATGATCCTAGCAACTGATCCGTGCACCTCACTTTAGAGGAAGGTGAAAAATCCCTAAATTCCCAGCCTATCCGATCTGGGGGGAAAATCCTTCCTGACCCTAAAGCTGGCAATCAGTTGGACTCTGAACATGTGGGCAGAGTCTCTGAGCCACATCACAGCAGTGGTCCACCTTGAAGGGGCTGTTTGCAATTCGCTGTCCGCCTGGAGTCTCCTAATCTTTCAAAGCTTTGATGCCGAGCCTGGTTTTTATGACCTAGCCTGCCTTGCCTTTGATCTTCTAAGCATGGGCTCAGGATAAGGCAAACCCGAGTCAAACCTCCCCCAGCCTCTCCATTGGGAGGGCTCTTCCTAGCGTCACTGCTGCATCACCGGCTAGTGCTTTCTTGCACCAAGAGACCCCGTGTGTGGGGTGAATCGAGGGGACAGTGCAGCTTCCCAAGGGGTGAGGAGGAGGGGAGCTGGAGGTGGGACAGAGATTGCTCCCCCTTCAGGGAGCAACTGGGAAGTTTGGGGTTCTGGGGGGCACTGAAAAATATGGAGAAAAATCAATTAAAAATTAACCTTAAAAACCCTCCTAAGAAACTCCTGAAAACAAAAATGAACAGAGAACAAGGAAAATAAATGGAAGAGCCAGTTCCTCCGCTGATTCCTGCACCAGCTTCAAGAGAGTGCTGCTGATTTACACCAGCTAAAGATCTGGCCCTAAATATAGAAAGAGGAAGAAAAGTAACTATCTCCAGGCCTCGTCTTTCCACTGGTTCCCAAACCGGTCTGCAAGGCACACGCTGCTGCTCTGTGGAAAACCAGCTGGTCTCCCAACTCTGCCGACTTAACACCAGCTTCCACACTGGAAGAGAGGATGGCAGGATTTTATCGGAAACGTCCTTCCCTCTCTGCATCAAACACATCAGGAGGGGCGCATGGGCTAGTGGTTCTGACTAGGGCTGTTGAGAAAATATTCCATATTCTTTGTGGCGGGAAACAGATCATTTTCCTGTTTTTGTTTAAGAAAAAGAGGTTTTTTTAACAAGTTTTTTTCTGGTGATGATTTTTGCTTAAGTGGGGTGAGGGGGGAAACGTTTTGATGGAGATTTTTTTTGTCAAAAATAAACGGTTTGGTGGAAAATTTTCTGTCACTTCTGCTCTGCTAGCTGCAGCAGTGGGAATTCTGGGTCATCCTACACCTTGCCTGGCTCACGGACTCACCGTGTGATCCCGAGGCACATCAAGCTCTCTCAGATACTTCTATGGCCACCATCGCCACAGGATCTGAGCACCTCCCAACCTTGACTGGGTTTATCCTCCCAACCCCCCGGGAGGCAGGGCAGGGTATTATCCCCATTGTACAGATGGCGGAACTGAGGCACAGCGACACTAAGCGCCTTGTCCAAGGCCACGCAGGAAGACTGTGGCGGAGCAGGGAATTGAACGCAGGGTTCCCGACTCCCCAGTACTGCACCATCTGCAGCTACAATTACCATGTGCCCTTTCCTTTCTGGTATCTATCCAGCCATACCTAAGGCCTAATCTTCAGGGGTGCTGAAAACTGGGAGCTGCATCCAAGAGGAGAGGCCACTTTTGAAAATATAGGCCGTGGCCCGTTTGCTCTTCAGCTTACCCAGCTACAGAATGGGTAGAATGACGCTGACCAACTCCTCAGGTATCACATGGGCTGAAGACTTTTCCCCAACTGTCACCGTGGCGCACTGCCTGGAGGGTTACTCCAACTAATGATGACTCTACACATGCATGGAATATGCAACATACTTGGGAATTTTACAGATTTCCCCAGCATGTCCTGGGGGCTCCCACACAAGTTCTGCCCGGGATCTGAGAGTCAAGCTGGGCCCCATCCGACTCGTGGGTCGCCACTGGTATTAAGCAGTCCGCATTTGGCACTCACCTAACCATTCTGTAGGCTATGTGTGAGTCAGAAAAGAATCCAGCTCCCTGTCCCAGATCTGCATTGGCTCTGCTGATCTGACTTGGAAGGTGCCATGGTAACACAGCCATTCTTCTGCCCATACCCACGCTTTTGATTTTCACTTTCCTTTTAAATGGCTTCCATCAGCCAGATCACGGCACATCACTGTCCTGACAGACCATCCCACGGAGTCAGTACACAGCCTCTTCAAGAAAAGGAGGATTTGTGGCACCTTAGAGACTAACCAATTTATTTGAGCATGAGCTTTCGTGCTCTTCAAGCAGGATCTACAGTTCCCTGGCCTCCCCTAGGCTAGCGTACATGCAGAGCTAGCTGTCAGGAAAACTAGCTTTTTACTTTGAAACTGAACCCATTTGATATGAACGTTACTGGGGAACAAACACGGAGCACCACAACGCCGTTGCTGTGGCATATAATTGCACTGTAAGGATGTTACATAAATAGAAAGGCATTATAACAAAATTCCGTAGACATTTAGGAACTTCATGGCCATCACTATGCTGTGTACAGCATGGCCATTCAGCCCTTTCCAGCCACAGCAGGGACACAACTCAGATCTTACTGCTTCAAAAGCAAAAGCCCTTAGCATTTGAGCTACAGGGAAATCTCCATTCGCTGTCAGCAGTATAGGGCCTATGCCATACACACCGCTAAGCAGTTGTGATTCTAGCCGGTAGGGGGAAGTGGTGGCTTATTCCCAGCAGACAGTTCATTACAGCATTCTATTCCGATCACTGCTTAGGACTCTTCTAATGATATTGCCAGAACTCTAGATCCCAGTGCTGGAAACGAAAAGGTGGCTCAAGGATACACTGCTTATGCGCAGGGAGTGCTCCTGTAATGAACGACCCTGCTTCTCCCAGCTTCGCACACACCCGGTACGAAACATCTCTGCCCATCGGGATGAAGGAGGGAACAGCGTGATGGTGGCTTACCTGTCAGAAGAGCCTGTTTGAGCTCAGGGTTGCTGAAGGAGCCAGGAGGGGCTCGGTAAAGAGCCTCATTGTCGATGCCTTTGAAACCAAAAGGGAAAAAAGAAATCAGAGTCAAGAATTCCCCCTCCAAAGCACCATGCAAACAAACCACGTTTTAATTCAGATCTGCTCAAAGGGCCCGACGCACAGATGGGGTCAGCATTAGAGTGACAGGGTCATCTTGTTTCGTGGTCTCTGTTCCGCTATCAATAGCCTGCAACCTTAGGTGTGTGTTGAGTTGTGTTGTGTGTGAGAGCGTATGAGTGAACAGTGCCCTCTACTGCATGGAATCAGAACTGCACCACCATGTGTCAGAGTTGGGTGAATAATCAATTTTTCAATGTGCTAGCAATTCCAAAAATAATAATAACCCCCCCACAATAAAAATTGTTTTGCGTCGACCCAAAATGATTTTTTTTTCAAAATGTTCGGCAAATCAAAAAGTCAAAACAAGATTTTGTTTCTGGCCAACCTAAATGTTATGCTTTGACAAAATTAAATTGTTTCATTTTGATTTTTACCATTTTTGACATTTTGGATTGCTTTTAAATAAAATTACAAGGAAATTTTGAAACGGAAAGTCATTTTGAGCTGAAAAATCAAAATGTTTTGTTTTTAAAGTGTCAAAATGGAACATTTTCGGGTTTTTTTATTTGTTATAGTTTTTTATTTTTACTGAAAGAAATTTGCAAAATTGACTCACATTTGCCTAATATTCCAATGTAGCTGAATCTGTGGTTCTGTGCAAAAACAATTTCTCCGAGCTCTAATCATAAGCCTCACACAGCTACCTATAGTAGTGTGGAGGCATACACAGGGCCGTTTCTATAACCCAAGCTAATGCCTATTATAGGGCTGGCCAGTTCAGATGTGTTATGTGCCTACGAGTGTCTCTCTTCCTGTTACGAAAGTTAGATCTAGAGCTGGATAAAAAATGGGAAAGATTTTTTGTGTGTGTGCAAAATATATGAAAAGCTAAAAGCACTTTTCCTTTTTGCTTATTCAAAAATTTTCACACACACAAAAAGTTACTTAAGACTTTCAGGTTTGGGGGCTTTCCCCCTTTTCTTTTCTTTTCTTTTCTTTTCTTTTCTTAATGCCTTCTTTTTTTTCATTTTACCAGAGGAAAAAAGGGAAAGTCAAAATCTGAACATTTGTTGTTTTCAGATTTAATTAAAAAACCCAGAAAAATACAAAAACCCTCCTATGGGGTCCAAAATGTTCATTTTTGGAAAAAAATGGCCCTTTTGATTTAAAAAATTAATTACAAATATTCAGAATGACTAATTATATCCATGTTAAGGGGCTAATCCATCCATCTGTAGCCCTCCGACCTCATCCGAGCTCCCTTTTGACAGAGCAATTGGGACTTCGCTAGAGTTGGTCTGAAAATGGGGTTTTACCCACAGAAAATGGTGATGGGGGAAAAAATGCATTTGTCAACATTTTTCAAAGAAACGTTCAATTTTTCAGTCAGAAAAAAAATCAAAAACAAAAATATTTTTCTGTGGAAACCCTGCTGCCATGCCTCCGGGGAGTAACAGTTTGGGTGACTCCTGCTCCCATTCTCCTCGATTGACTGAGCTCCCTGATTGGATTACCTCTCCCATGATGCACCACTGTTTCTCCTTATGGTGAAGGGAGGTGGTAGCATCATGGGAGACACTGGCCCTGGTGTATTATGGGGGATGTAGTCCAGCTGGGTATCCCAACCCAGGGAGAAAAATGGAAACTCACTGAACTACAACTCCCATAAGGCACTGGGGGCAAGATATCTGAATCAAAATATTTCAGTTACTTTTCATGAAAACGGTCATTTAGCCAAAAAAAAAACCCCAGTGTCCATTGAACAACAATTTTGATGGAACATTTTCCGCCAGTCCTAGACTTTTCCGAGAAGGGGGATGGATGTTCAGAGAGACTCCGCGTTCCCTTTATGCGCACTCCCTGCTGTAACGAGCGTCCACAGGCCCCTCTCTTCCCCAGCCAGATAGAAGTAAAGCCCCCTGCAACGCTATGAGCTGCACAGGTTGCCAGAGTCCTAACGGCGTCTGAGCCTGACATTGCTGGTTTCATGCGCAATTATTCTCTCAGCTCCGCTATTATGGCTCAATGTGTAACATGCAGCTTCAGAGGAGACCAAAGGAGAGCTGCGAAGGGTGCTGACGTTCCCTGGGTGCAGAGACTGAGCCTCATGTTCTTACCCTCCACCATCAATGTGGGTTGTCAACAGCCATGTCCCCGCTTGGGGATGAACCCTAATTCAGCAGTCAGTGACAGCCAGGCTCTGAACCAGCTGAGCCCAGTGCTAAACTGCCCCCGGCCCCTGCAAACTGTCTGCATGTGGGGCTTGCTCTGGTTGCTGGACCAACAACTGCCAAGCGCCAGGCAGAACAAGGCCGTGGTTGAACCATGACAGCAAACGACCTGTGCTCATCAACAGACATTAAGTACCAGAATCACCCCCGACAACCAATGCCTAGCATGGCTGGGGCAAATATGGCAGCCCCCATCTCGAGTGATGATAGGGAGTGAACTGGAGATTTGAGCTGAATCGGCAAGCCGGCAAGCCTGTGCAGACCCATCTCTGCTGTGGATCGGACACAGAGAGGTGGACCCTAGCCTCCAGGTATTACAGGTTTCCCTGTCCGGAGCAGACAGGTTTTTGTTGGTTTCACTTTAGATAATGCTACCCCACAGGTAATCCATCCTCGAGATTCCATAGCATGGCTTGTGCAGGTGATTGTTGCATATTTCAGAATGGTGCTAGGGACGGTTGCAGTCTGTGTCACTGTCAGGCTGTAGCCTCGTTTAAAAGGTTTCAACCACGTGCAATCAAATCCTGCTCTCACTCCGGCATAGATCTGGAATAGCTCCATTGTAGTCAGTGGAAGCGCACTGGGTAAATCTCGATTTTGGTCCCCGGGGTGGATGGGGCCCATTTCTGATGGTCCGTCATGCCGCATCAGCAGGGAAGGAGTGTGCACATGACACAGGGAACATGCATGCCCAATGCACGAATTTGACCCGGCTGGAAGAAATGTGAGGAGGTGCCCAAGGGAACATACCCCTGACGTACCTTGGTTTTCCAAAGCTTCAATGAGTCTCATTACAACCAGAGGTGCTTGCTCAGGGAGTCTTAACTCTGCAACCTCGGCCTGCCCAGCGGGTCCTGTTAGAGAGACAGATGAGAGACAAATAAAGATGATTTACCAGAGTGGATCTCAGTGCTTGTCAACAAGGCAATTTGGCTGGACGGCAGCTGTGGTGCAGTTAAATAGCATATTCAATCTCTCTGATGGGCCAGTGCCTGGAAAATAGGGGGTGATAATGAGCCAAGCATGTAATTTGCAAAGAATCATGTATTAGATGGATTGCTCCTCTTTCCCACTTTGCTAATTGCACGCAAACAAACAACAGATTGTCTCGGATTCCTCATTTGAAGCCATTCTCCAGGGACTTGCTCCCGTTAATTCTGGGGTCGTTATGCAAACATGCCAGCTGCTGTGGTCGGGCGTGCGGGTCACGTGGTCTCTGTCTGTTTCACAATTGGACGGCCCTAACTCGCGGGATCAGGTTTCCACTGGGGCTGCTGCTGCTGGGGAATTTGAAATTTGCAGCTCCCAAGCATCTCCTGAGAGTCCCATTGTAACCACAGGAGAGGGACACATTCGCAGCCTGCGGCGAGCGAACACAGGCTCTGGCTACACGACAGAGACCATGTCAGCATAGCTCTGCATGGCTCCACTGTAACCACAGCGAACACCGACGGTTTTCTTGACAGAGGGAAAATGCCACCTCCCCGAACAACATTAGCTCCGCCGACAGAAGCACTCTTCTGTTGGCGCAGCTGTGTCTACGCTGGGATTTTGTCGCTTGGGGTGTGGTTTTTTCACACCCCTGACGGACACAGCCATGCTGGGATCTGTTTTAAGGGCAGCCCAAGCCACAACCAACACAAATTCCTTTGAATTCCCTAGCCTCTGTTTGCCAGAAGCTAGGAATGAGCGACAGGGGATGGATCACTTGGTGATTACCTGTCTGTTCATTCCCTCTGGGGCACCTGGCCTTGGCCACTGTCGGAAGACAGGCTACTGGGCTAGATGGACCTTGGGTCTGACCCAGTGCGGCCGTTCTTATGTTCAAACAAATGTTAATGGGCGATTTTCCCCGGCAGCCACCCAAGTGCTAGCAGTAACTTTGGTTCCCCATTCAGGTAAGGACTCTTCCCCACTTGCTCAAATTGTCCTTTGAGCAGCCAGGATTACTGCTGTTTTGATGGTGCATGATGGGCCCTGAATATTAACGTATTATTTCCGCTGCCCTCCCCCACAGCAATTTCAAAATCGGAATTCAACTGGAATAGGTCAGCACCAGGGCACCTCCGCCTCCATTCATGGGGACGAGAAGAACTGCCCCCCTCACGCACTATACTTACACCGATGCCACTTTCCCGCCAGCCATGCTGGAGCTATGGTATTGCTCATGTTCCTCAGCGCCACCGGGCCTGCAGGCTAGTTCTAGATTTGCCTTGGGGTTCGTTTATTTATATTTGTTACGGGGGAGCCTCTCGCCCTAAAATCTGCATGATGCCTGCACCTGGCCATTGGGTGCACTGCGTAGGCCCCTGTTTTGTCGCTCTAGTTTGCTTGCGAGCTCCTTTTTATAGGAAACGTGTCTTCTTCTAGACTTTCTGCCAAGTGCACCCCCGACGCCCAATACAGGAAGGAAGAACCATGGCCCAGGTCCTCAGCTGGAATGATGCGGCTAAGCTGCATCGACTCAGCGAGAGCCGTTTTATTCCTTGTGACCAAACCATCTGTTGAGCCAATGCGTCGTTATGGTTTGCAATGACGCACCAGTTAATAATGAGCAAGGCAGGGCTGTCGGGGTAGTTCTGAGGATTCGGTTGGTGGCGTTCTTCTCCCTGAATGAATCCCCCGATGTGGTGTTTGGGAGTGTCACGCTGCCAGGCATTTCACTTTCCAGGCAGGATGTGTAAATAAGCTTCTCTAAGTACTCTCCACACTAAAGACCCCTTGACACAACTCCAGAGAGCCAGGGGTTTTAGCCCAACGGGGTTCCTTTGTTCCACCTCTCCACGATCCTCCACCATGGCTATGTAATCAGCTACGTGGAACAGTCTTCTTCCCCTCCTATATTTATATAGTTTTTCCATTTACAAAGCACAACCCCAAAGCTCTAGGCACCATGCCAGCAATTGCACTGACAATCAGTTCACTACCACCTAGCAGTGTGACAGGAGAGGCTGTAAATGGACCAACAAACTCCCCTGCATTCCAACCAAACCCCCATCATATTGAGCCCTATAGTATCACAGGATCTGCCAATGCGCCCCTCAGCCCCCACCCCGGATCTATCTCAGAGATTCACACGTTTCAAAGTCAGTAGGGAGCACTCTGATCATCCAATCCAACCCCCTGCTTAATATAGGCTGTGGGGGAATTGTTCCCTGAGATTTCCACACACACACACACACTTTCAGAAGAGCTCAGCTTCCAGTTCGACTGCCCGGATTTTTACTTTTTGTCATTTAACTTTCTTTTAAAATCTGGCCACAGTAATTTCTACTGGACCTTTATTTTAAAAGACATTCTGGTTTCCATGCACATGCAAGAAAGCCCAGCATGAACAAGGCAGGAACTTGCATCGTGGGAACACCTCAGCCCCCCGCTATTTCGTTTTTTTCCCTCCTGTCGGTTGAGGATTTCTTTTCTCGTGCCTTATCAGAGTTGTGGCACTCGGATGAACTCTGGTGATGAGGGCCACAGACATAGACAGGTTCACAGACAGCTGGGTCGATAGATGCATGGAGTATATGGCGGTGAATGGAGCGATCAACAGGGGGTGTGCACATGACAAAGGCAGACGAGGCCAAAATTCCCTTCATGGAAGAATTGAAAAGCACCACCCAAAAACTACAGTTTTGGCAGTTTTGCTCTGGCAGGCCCTTCCGCAGAGGTGGGCTCTAAGGCCCTGGGCTTCCACTGCCTCCCTTCCGATGTATTGTGACAAGCAGCAGGCTGTGAAACTACCCAAGCTGTCAGAGGGGATGAGCTTAGATTTTCACGGGCTCTTCGGCTAACCCTTTGGGGGAAGCAGCGCAGTGAGGCTGAGAGCGCTTCCGGCCCATTTCTTTCTTTTACCTGTCCAAAGGACGCGTGGCCAGGGGAGCGGTCTCAAGCAGCCAGCCAGGGTCTGAACGGGGACCCAGCAGGATTGTGTGACAGCTCTCTACTGGCTTTTGAGTGGGGTGGGGTGGGCGGGATCTCCTTGGCCATGACAGCTTTCTAAGCACCCACCTCCCATTGCTGTTTCAGCTGCTTACTCACCAGATTTACTAGCTTGTCCTGATCACACAGGATGGACAGCCGGTAGCTTCCACACAGTGAAACATAGAGCGATATACTCTACTTGGGCAGTAGGTGTATGCTGCACTGCCCTCTACTGGATGGCATCAGAACAGCTCACCTGTGTGCCATTGGCCCTGTACCGCTCACAGCGATCCTCCTGTAGCTCAAGAGGCCCATGGATGCGCAGCAGGAGAACTTGAGTTCAGAGAGACGATTACTTAGTTGCAAGCAGAGCTGACATTTCGCGGCTATGACGACACTCTGCACCTCTGTGTATTTGATCCTCTGCGTCAGTGAGCCGGGCAGGCAGTGCGGTGCAGTGATCAGCGCAGGGGGCTGGGACTTGCTTCTCTAGCTGCGCCACGGACTCATTGGCTGCTGAGGGGCCAGTCCCTTAACCCTGCTCTAACACGTGTCAACTGCCCGGTGCCCGGCTCCTTGCTGTGCCGTCAAACCCTTGGAAACCCTCCGGTCACAAGGGGCTGGGTGTGTGCGGGGAATCGGGCAGCATTGTCCGATTTAAGAGCCACAGACTCAGGCTTGTCATTTGCGTCCCTCAGTTATATTGTGGGGAAACCATCCGCATTCAATGCCCATGGCGAAATGCCCCAGGCTGTGCCCTCGAGGATGCCCTTGTGCAGGGGGCATCCCAGCTCAGCCACGCACGTGAACCCTGCAGAGGGAGATGGAAGGAAAGAGCGGGAACAGGCAGAATAGAGGCCGTGGCAACCCTGTGCCCACCCAGCCATCCGAGTGCTGGATACCAAAGTCGGCGGGGCCCTGCCTGGGACAGGGCTTCAGAGGACAGAACAAGCAGGAAGAAGGGGGCTGTGGGTTAAGTGCTGGGCTGGGACTCAGGAGATCCGGATTCAATTCCTTGCTCTGCTCCGGATACCCTGGGCAAGTCACTTCTCAGATTCCCTTTTGCAGGGGACTCAGTGTTTCCAAGCCCGCCCGTGAACATTCATACTGCATTGTAAGCCTGGGTTTACAGCTACAGGACCCAGCTCTCCCAGCTGTGCCAATGCATCCACATTGCACTACGCAGACCTTCTGACTCAGGTCTGCAGCTTGAGCTGCGTCCACACTGCAAAATGACACGGCTTGGACCAGAGTCACAGCTGGACTCGGGTTCCGCTCCACCCCCGTTGCGAGGTTCTAGGGCCCAGGTCCTGAGTGCTTGCTGACCCAATTTAGGCTGATTTGTGTGTGGACGGACGCAGTGGGGTGGGTGGGGGACACGGTGTGGGCTCAAACCTGAGTCAAAGCTTAGGCTTAGTGTGCAGTGTAGACATAGGGACGGGGCTAGCAAACCTGGGAGCTAAGTTCAAGCAAGTTAACCATCACTGGATGATTATCTGTTCTCTTCACTCCCTCTGGGGCACCTGGCCTTGGCCACTGTCAGAAGACAGGAGACTGGGATAGATGGGCCTTTGGTCTGACCCAGTGTGGCCGTTCTGATGTTCTTGTGGGGTTGAGATGCCGGGCCAGGTGCTCTGCCGGGGCCGCTCCATTGAGAATTCCGGTCCAAAGGAAAGGTGTCCGCCCCCCCCTTTCCCAATCCGATTGGCCACTCGCAACAACCCAAGCCCCCCCCAACGAACCCACGAGACTGGGGAAAAGAAGAGAGAGATCCCTGGGGCTGGGCCAGGGACAGTCCAGCATGGACACGGCTCAGCTACGGGCTGCTGAGAGTAGATGCTATGCCAAGATGGTGCAGATTGTACAGAACCCTGTAGCACAGAGCTCAGTCCATAGACAGCTGCAGTGCGTGTGGTTTATTTACTGAAGGGAACAG